GACGTCAGCCTTCCTGCTTCTCTGATGCTGCTTGGCCTGCTGTGTTCATCCAGCTCTACACCTTCTCCTGTAAAAGTCAGGATTCTCGTCTAGTGGGAGGGTGCGAAAAACTTAATGTCAGATACCCCTCGATCCATGAGGGCTGTCGTTGCCCTGATATGGACCGTTTTCTCCAGTAATGGAAGAAAGGGAGGGACTGAGTACATTGAAAGTGGGTGCCACAGCTGTTAGTACTAATGCAAAAAACAGCATAAGGTTCAGTCTTATTTTTCTTTATAATACACTGAAATGTTCAGCTTTTCACATATTTATATTATGTTTTATTAATAAATAATTTGTTACCAAAACCTCTAATTAAAACGATTGGGAAAAAAAACACTGGTTCTCTTATTATCGGATTGATATCTTCGTGAATAGAATGGTGTTTAAGGCATTGCTTTAATTATGTTTGTAATGTTCTTCGAACAGACAAATTCATCTTGTCGACTTTATGTTAAGATTACAGATGCTAACAAAAGTCGATTTGAAGTTCCACATGAAATCATTAAACCATTTGAGGGTCCTGCAGCATCAAATCCTAATTATGAAGTTGAGCTCTCTAAGAATCCTTTTGGAATTTCAATAAGGAGAAAGTCCACCAGAACTGTGCTGTAAGCAATTTTCTTTCTAATACATATTTACCACATTATTGACACAGGATATTTGTAATCAATATATCATCAAACTAATATGAAATTTATCTTTCTACTTTTTGGTGAAGATTAAAGGTACATGGTGAATAGAAATTTCATATGAAGGTGTTTTTATGTTACAAAGTTTGGTTACCACCTGTTTAAATAAGTGATTTTTATGGAAAAAATACAGACCCTAGTTGCTTATACGGCATCAATTTCCCCAAATTCTATCTTTCTAAATAGATTTTCTTATAGATTGGCTTAGATTTTCATTCTTGAGATGGGAACTGTGAGTTGAGAACATTCCTGCCTTATCCCACCACTCAGGAGAAAGTTCCTGCAAAGACAGAATGTTCCTTGCTGTGAGGAGAGGTTTATGGGTGCAGTTGGACAAACTGACCCAGGAAATAAGTCAGAGCCAATCATTGTGGCTACAGGGATGGGGTAGGCTGTTTAACAATCCTGCCTCAGTCCTGTGGAACATTACCTGAATTATAATGTGAAAATTAAGGCCAAATTGCCATCAACAGTAACATTTTGTCAACCTCCACACACTACTCATGCCCTAAACGTTTGACGTCATGCCCTCCAAACCAGCTACGTCCCCTTACGTCCATTCGTGTACTATACCAATCTAGAGGGGCCATGCCTCATTATGCATTATTGGTACAGAGTTAGACATTCATTAGCATGTTGAAACAGCTGAACCCCAGGGAATAAGTTTCTTGTTTAATACGTCTGGCTCGGTAATCTCTTTTGTCAGTTGCAGAACATGCTTCCTCTTACTGTTTTTGACAAATGTCTGAATGATTGATACTTCTATTGGCTGGTAGCAGAAATGGGTATTTTTTAAGAATATTGAAGTTATCAATTAATGACTTTTTAAAAAGCTTTTCTATATATTCTATTGTCACGATAGATTCATTTGTTCTGTGCAGTGTACAGTGAGCAAATGAGCATGAGGCTGTCAAAGCTTGGCATCGGGAATAGCGGATCTGTAGGAAGTTGCTCGGACATAGTTTTGCATGGAATGATCATGAGCGTCCATAAGTGGATGGGGTGGTTGGACATAGTTTGACATGTCATCATGAGGAAGACCTTTTACGTTTATCTTTCATAACTTCATAGAATCATGGAATCCACTACCGTGTGGAAGCAGGCCATTCAGTGCGAGTCCACACCGACTTTCTGAAGAGTATCCCACCCAGACCCACACCCCCTCAACCCTGTTCCAGTAACCCTGCATTTCCCATAGCTAATCCACCTAACCTACATAACCCTGGATACTATGGGCAATTTAGCATGGCCAATCCAACTAACCTGCACATCTTTAGACAGTGGGAAGAAACCAGAGCATCTGGAGGAAACCCATTGCAGACACAGGCAGAACATGCAAACTCCACAGAGTTTTTTTTTAACCTAACCATAACCCTAACCCTTACCCTTACCTTTACCCAAAACCTAAACCTAAACCATATGTTCCCTCATCCAGACTCGGTTTTATACCTTCTCTGAGGGGTCATGAATCAGGAAAAACAAGCTAACCAAAACCAACCAAGTAAAAATGGGATAACAAGGTGTAGAGCTGGATGAACACAGCAGGCCAAGCAGCATCAGAGGAGCAGGAAACCTGACGTTTCGGGTCTAGACACTCCTTCAGAAATGGGGGAGGGGAAGGGGATTCTGAAATAAATAGGGAGAGAGGAGGAGGCGGATAGAAGATGGATAAAGGAGAAAATAGGTGGAGAGGAGACAGACAGGTCAAAGATGCAGGGTTGGAGCCAGTAAAGGTGAGTGTAGATGGGGAGTTAGAGAGGGGATAGGTCAGTCCAGGGAGGACGGACAGGTCAAGGGGGCGGGATGAGGTTAGTAGGTAGGAGATGGGGGTGGGAGGAGGGGATAGGTGGGAGGAAGGACAGGTTAGGGAGGCGGGGACGAGCTGGGCTGGTTTTGGGATGCGGTCGGGAGAGGGGAGATTTTGAAGCTTGTGAAGTCCACATTGATACCATTGGGCTGTAGAGTTCCCAAGCGGAATATGAGTTGCTGTTCCTGCAACCTTCGGGTGGCATCTTTGTGGCACTGCAGGAGGCCCAGGATGGACATGTCGTCCAAGGAGTGGGAGGGGGAGTTGAAATGGTTCGCGACTGGGAGATGCGGTCGTTTGTCGTGAACCAAGCGTAGGTGTTCCGCAAAGTGGTCCCCAAGCCTCCGCTTCGTTTCCCCGATGTAGAGGAGGCCACATCAGGAACAGCGGATACAGTATACCACATTAGCAGATGTGCAGGTGAATATCTGCTTGATGTGGAAGGTCTTCTTGGGGCCTGGGATGGGGGTGAGGGGGGATGTGTAGGGGCAGGTGTAGCACTTCCTGCGGTTGCAGGGAAAAGTGCCGGGGATGGTGGGGCTGGTGGGGAGTGTGGAGCGGACAAGGGAGTCATGGAGAGAATGGTCCCTCTGGAAAGCAGATAAGGGTGGGGAGGGAAAAATGTCTTTGGTGGTGGGGTCGGATTGCAGATGGCAGAAGTGTCGGAGGATGATGCGTTGGATCTGGAGGATGGTGGGGTGGTACGTGAGGATGAGGGGGATTCTGTTTTGGTTGTTATTGCGGGGAGGGGTGTGAGGGATGAGTTGCGGGAAATGCGAGAGACACGGTCGAGGGTGTTTTCGACCACTATGGAGGGGAAGGTGCATTCCTTGAAAACACGAGGACATCTGGGATGTCCGGGAGTGGAATGCCTCATCTCAGGAGCAGATGAGGCATAGGCAAAGGTGTTGGGAATAGGGGATGGTATTTTTGCAGGTGAGAGAACATGTATTCTAGGTAGCTATGGGAGTTGGTAGGCTTGAAATGGATATCGGTTTCCAGGTGGTTGCCAGAGATGGAAACAGAGACATCCAGGAAGGAGAGAGAGGTATCAGAGATGGTCCAGGTGAACTTAAGGTTGTGGTGGGAGGTGTTAGTGAAGTGGATGAACTGTTCGAGCTCCTCGTGGGATCACAACAAAGGGGGTGGCCATGAGTACCTGCATGGGCCCAAGCTATGCCTGCCTCTTTGTAGGTTACGTGGAACAATCCCTCTTTCTGAGATACACTGGCCCGAAACCCCACCTCTTCCTCCGTTACATCGATGACTGTACCGGCACTGCCTCGTGCTCCCACAAGGAGCTTGAACAGTTCATCCACTTCACTAACACCTTCCACCCCAACCTTAAGTTCACCTGGACCATCTCTAACACCTCTCTCTCCTTCCTGGACCTCTCTGTTTTGATCAAGAAGGATTTTCAACTCAAGATTGATTATTAGGCATACAGACAATGATTGACACATTTTAAACGACGTTAAATATTAAATATATTTAATGTAGTGAGAAGCTGACTAATCATCGTAAGATTTTCCAAATCATTTTCATGGCTTAAATCAAGTCATTCAATGCTTATTTTCTGTGATAAAATCATTTTCAGCTGTATTACTAAGTCTTCAGAAAGTTAACACTCTATATACAATGATCCAAAGGGCTAAAAGTTAATGATGATATTCGACAGCTGCATGAGAAATAGATTGTACAGGATGGGAAAATAGGCCGGGAAAGTTTAGAATAATACTTGACAAGCTGCATGACCTTGAATGAGTCCTGTGAACATACCTTTACAAACTGAAGATGACACCTGCACTTGTTTATCCATCCTGTGTTTTCTGTACCAGCCAGCAGTTTTGTCTTTCTGTATCTGCTTTCTTTGTGCTGGCTGTTTGTCACAGTGTATAAGAGAGAGAGAATCTTGTTATAAGCTGCTGCTGCTGTTGGACTTTGCTTCAGCTTGGAATCGGGAACAGTCCTGGGAACGAACCTCAGCCTCCAGACCAGCCATTGATTGAGGGGTCCCCGACAGACAGAAGAACATGAGACTTGTCGCTTTTTCTAGAAAGTTGTGAGACTTGTTGCTTGTTTTGTCTTTTCATTTCCACTTGTTAGTAATTTATTACTACAGTAATTTATTATTGCCATTGTGATCATTATTCTTACTTAATAAATATCTATATTTAAGTAAATTGCTATTGCCAAGCCTTCTCTTAATTATATTTAATCGAATCTGAAGAGAACCGCTTGGATACACGCTGTGATCCAAGACACACTCTTAAATACCATAAGACATAGGAGCAGAAATAGTCCAGTCAACCTATTGAATCTACTTTACCATTCAATGACATCATGGCTGATTTGATAATTCTCAATTCCACTTTCCTATCTTTTCTTAACATTCCTAAATTCCTTTACTGATTAAGAACTGATTTGGCAAGCCTAGGCTCATTAACTCACAACAAAATAAATGAAATAATGCGGTATAAAGGCACATATTCCAAGACATTTGCAGTGCCCTCTACTGAAAGTCAGCAGCCTTCCAGCAGCCATGCTATAACCATGCAGATGACATTGTAAAAGGTAAAGGCAAAGTTGCCATAGTCCCAGAGGATTCGTGGTGGGTTAACGTGAAGGACATCGTGCCTCAGACAAAGGAAGATGTTGAGAGGAGAGTCTCTCATTGATAACCTCAGCGGTGCAATAATTGAAGCAACACTGTTGGTGTCACTCTGCATTGCAAACTAACCATCTAAACTAACCCACTTCATATGCCATTGTATAGGGTATGAGGACAGCAAAGGCAAATAGATTGCAGGCACTAAGAAAAAACACAAAAATTATTAGTTGACATTTATATGCAACATGACATGCTTTGATTTTACATTTGCTTTAGGGTGTTTATTTTCTATTGGCTTTTATTTTTGGATTATGGTCAAATATGCAATGATTGTCAGCAACTTCGGGATAATAATGTGTAAAACTGTGGTGAATGGGGAATTGGTGGTTCCCTTTTACTGCTTCCCATTGTTGCACTTGAATATTGGAAGGCTTCTGCTTCTGCAGCAATTAAACCTGAGAAATTGTCCATTGTACTTTAGATCAAGATTGGGTCCACAACTGTGAATTGTTTGTGGCATTTACAGTTTACAGCAGATAACCACAAGTCATGACATTTGCTCTGTTGTGTATTGCAGGACTCATGCAGAGTGATCTATGCAGTAGATTTATTTTGTCAGCATGCCAGTGGTCTGAACTAAAATAATTGTTATAGCACAGCTTTCGTTGTATGCAATTGGGCATTGGCGCGATGAGCTAGCATGCATCAGAGGCAGCAGATAGCATGTGTCACCTGGTCTGTTTGCTGTTGCGGCTCAAATGCAGAATACATAGCAGACAGTTATAATAATTAAGGCATCATAATTGCAGTCAGGATCAAAATCATTGACCTGCATGATTCGCTACATATGGTCACACACCAGCCAAAGATTGAGGGACTGAATTTCTTGCATTTGTGATATATTTCAGTGTTAACATGCAGTGCCGAGAAAACAGTTTGTATGAAGTGAGTCGAATCCTACGCTGTGGGGGAGCCTATAATCCTGGCAAAATTACTTAGTCTCTGCTGTTATCTGGCAAGTGAAAACAAAATCTAGTTGGGTCTGTGAACAGAGACCCTCAGTAATCTTTTCTGTAACAGGGGACAGCAAACTGCCAGCCATTTCCAACATTAAAAACGTTACAAGTGTTTCTAGTTCGAGCCTGGAAAGATACCCTTGCATAAAATTTGATAGCCACATTTACCCATTTTGAATCTCTATGGGGAACTGCAGCATCCAACAACTGTAAGATTCCATTTGAATTTTGTAGGATGCTTGTGTTTCGGCGAGTGAATTTGGACAGAAACTTGAATCATACTTCAGAGCAATTTCATTGTGTAACCACAATGAAAGTTCAGTCAGTTCAGTCCAAAATGGAAACTCTAGAATGTAATTTACAGATTTAGAATGAGTTTGTACCTTGAAATAAATTTTATCGAAGTATCACATCTAATGAAAAAAACTATATAATCAGCTTGTATTTTGATCTATAAATTAACTCAGACTGATTAAGTATAACTACTATTAATTTGATAAACAATAATTAGTTATTATCTATGATAAAAGTCATAGTGCATTTAGCAAAGCATTTGAAATATCATATCAAATCATTCTTGAACTTTATGCAGGGAATTCAGGAGCTCTGTGCGCTGGATTTTACAGTGAGAAATGTGAAAATGAACAATGTTAAATGTGATATAAGCATTGGTGTACATGATAGATTTTTAATAATTTTGCAAACATTGCAGATATTTTTGGATTTATTTTCCCTAGTGTGATGTAGAACGTACCTTACATACTTGTCAAGTTATGTTATTTACTTACATGTATTTAGTCTCACAAATTGGATTTTTTAACAAAAATTGTGGTAACTTATAATTGTTAGGAACACATATAAAGTACAGGGATTAAAGGTACAGGTATGATGAATGTGAATTATGTGAACTGAGAAAACATAAATTGCTCATTGGAAGATCATTTACAATACAATTTTGCTTGGAGAGTGAAGTTGTTGGCTTATTTTGGTTGTGAACAGTTAAAAAGAGGGACACAAATTTTCTGCATAAATGAAAGTTATAGATTATAGTTACATTTTTATAATAAAATATTTTCAGTGGTACTTCATACAGAATTTGAAAAATATATATTTCTATCTGTAGGTTTGACACTTCGGTGGCACCATTGAGGTTTGCTGATCAGTATTTGCAAATAACTGCAAAACTTCCTAGTCACAACATCTACGGGCTAGGAGAACATGTTCATAAACACTATCGCCATGATACTAACTGGAAAACCTGGCCTATCTTCACCAGAGATGCATTTCCTAATGGGGTATGAAAACCATTTTGAATGCCAATTTTCTTTTAAGTAATACCATCAAATGTTTAAACACGCTATGTTTTCACATTGTTGTTTTATCCTTATTCTGGAACAATTGAACAATGATGTACAGAAGACAGACTCTATGTCAGCAGCAATGAACATTCAGCCAGCATTTGTTTCAGAAAACTGTAGTTCAAGTTCCCTTTCAGATGACTGAGTCTGAATATCAAGGCTGACATGCAAGTGAAAGATTGAGGAAATGCTGCAACATTGGGGTTGCCATCTTTTGTTAAACTGAGGTCTAGTGCACCCTTTCATGGCAGTTGTAAAAAAGTCCCTCAGCACTATTCAAAGAAGAGCAGGGTAATTTTTATGGTCAGTATTTGTCCTTTAATTAGCACTATTCAAATCGATTTTCTATCAGGAAGTGATGGCTAAAAGGAAGAAAAAAACTATTGAAGTGGTGTTTACTCACACTTGAAAGGGATATATACAAATTATCTTCATTGAAACAGTCATCTTAATCAGATATTACTTCTTTTCTTTCCTACTGTTATATTCTTGATACTTGTTCTCTTTCTTCTCCCCATGCAAAAACTTGTGACTCTGTACTCATGCCATGATGCAGTTAGATAAGCAATCTTTCATTACCTCATGTGATTGGCTGTTCACTCAGTATGACACTGATCAAGCTGGATATGTGCAATGGAGTTTAGTAGATTGATTTGGAAATTTTACAGCTCAGCAGGTCTGCCTTGAATATAACGTGCCTATTGCATGTAACGTGATACGAGTGAGTGCCAAGTTGTGCTAGGTAGAAGACCTACAGCGACGAGCGAAGACATTGTCTGAGTTGTTTTAAAAGTTGTTAGGTCCTTTAGCCCTCCATGTCCCAACCATGCAACCTTATAACTCCATGCCACATTCATGCCAATCTATGCAACGTCACACTTCCCATGCCACTTGACAACCCCTTATCCAGGAACCACTGTAGTCAGGCCTCAGAGTCACATGGAGCTGAGAAAAAAAGCTTCTCACAATCTAATACAGTTTTCATTCATTCACAGTAAATACAGAGAAAAAAATGCCATTCATGAAGCCAATTCATGTGAATCTGCTCCAGTGGTCGATCTACTATAAAAATAAATAAATTTCTTCTCAGTAAACACATCAAAGACAGATAATCCTTTAAAAGCCTCCCAAATTGCCATTCAAAATGTGAACTAAGCAATCTGCTCACCCCAACTGAGATAAGTGGCTTTTGAGCTTTTGGCACTGAACAAAGTATTCATAATAGGCATTGACTTACAACCCTTGGAAATATCGACAATAAACTCTATTTATTTTTGTTCTAGCTACATGAGATGACTTCTCTACCAAAGCAAACCAGCCACCAGTTTTGCAATCACTCTGAGTGCTGCAGGCTTTTCATTTCATGTTTAAAGAGCTGGCAAATAAAGAACTTCCAATCATGAAACTTAAACAAATCTTATCTACCCTTCAAGAGCATTTATTTTAACTAACATTAATTTCAAATGACCCTGCTAAGTTTGGGGTTGATTCATACTCTTGCTGCTACCCTTCCCAGCAAAAAAGCACAAACTGGAAACAAAGTGGTAATTCTGCACAGTCATCCCTCCCACCACTTTTAAAGGCATCCATAGAAATCTGACGCATTGCATTTATCTTTTGTCTCTATCGTAGAAATGAACGGAAAACATTGGATGACAAGCAAAACACTTATAAGAAAAGTTTAGTTAATAATGTAATATTTTAAGAAAAGTCTTAAAGGACAGGGTGAAGGGATTGCATTGGAAATTTCCAAGCATGAGGCTGAGGTGGTTAAACACATCACTGTCAATGATGGGCATTGAACCAGCACTGTGTACAGGTTAACGTGGAATCCAATTTAATGTGTAAGAATTTGCTTATAGGGATACTTTCCAGTTTTTTTGGCAGTATGGTCTTGCTTGCAACTGTCATTCTTGGTATTGATCATAAGAAAAGAGGATGGAATATTCTTGAGTTGTAACAGCACCTACACACTGTTTCCCATTTTGCTTGGTGCCTATATTATTCTTGAGAAACACAGGTAGATGTTTCATTCCAGACCATGTAAGTGTAAATTGTTGCCAAGCTCACTGCCTCAAGCAATTTAAAGTTGTCACTGGTGTAAGGCCTGTGGGGCTGTTAAGATTAAATTGAAATTGATGACTGCAAATGTTGCATGAGATATGCACTCTCAAGATGGTTAAAGCTGCTTTTCTGCTTTGACAGGAGATGAGTAATCTCTATGGACATCACACTTTCTTTATGTGTCTGGAAGGAGAGAATGGCTTAGCCTTTGGTGTTTTCTTGCTGAATAGCAATGCAATGGGTAAGCATATTATAATGACTATGACAAGGGATGATCTGGTAATACTGTCCCAGAGGGTGAGCAGATAAATTACATGTTTATCTGTCATTGCTGTTCTGAATCCAGATTCTTGAACAAGTATGAGAATTGCCTCTGATTTATTCTTTCATCTATCAGAGATACTTTTTGGCTTTTCTCACCACTGCAATAGAACCGAGGTAAAGAAACTCAGCATGTGGAGATCTGGAGGTACAAACCTTAGAAACTTCACAGGATTGCTCATTGAGTCTTGTGTGCTCCAGATGACTATGTTACCTTTTATTGAAAGATGGAGAGTGATTCAGTAAAATACTCACCAAATTGCATTTTAATTAATAATATCTGAGTATGTAGCATGGTTCTACAGTTTTGGTTTGCAATTGCAGCTAGTTAATCCTGTGCCAAGAATCTGTTTTTAATCAGGATATGATACTGAAGTGAAAAACAGAAAATGCTTAACAAGCTAGCTAGCTATTGTGATGAAAGAGATTTCAGGCTGATCCACTTCTCATTTTCAGAACTAGAAGATGTCGGAGATTAAAGTTACAAAGTTTGTCTTTCGTGTTGTTGGTACTGACAGTATAGAATCCCAAAGCATTTACAATGACTTTTGGCAAGATCTGCATTGTACCTCCAAACTCTGCTGGACAAATGCAGAGAGTGCTGGTCCTGATTTCAAACAGCCTCTAAAATCCATTTCATCACTAATCTGCCATTTTGGACCTTGCAAGTCTTATAAAACACCAAATATTCCCAGCTGAAACCGCATTTGGTGCTTGAGGTGCTAGCAGCCTTGAGTTATTATGATTCAACATTCTGGTGGAGTGCTTTTGACTTTCCTTTGGTTTTGCAGAGTCGATGGAAGGACTGTGCTTTGTGTTATAGAGTCATAGAGCTGCACAGCATGGAAACAACCCTTTGGTCCAAGTCATCCATGATAACCAGCTCTCCTAAATAAATCTAGTCCCATTTGCCAGCATTTGGCCCATATCCCTCTAAACCCTTCCTATTCATATACCCATCCAGATGCCTCTTAAAATGTGGTAATTATACCAGCATCCACCACTTCCTCTGGCAGCTCATTCCATACCTTCTCCACCCTTTGCGTGAAAAAGTTGCCCTTAGGTCCCTTTTAAATCTTTCCCTTCTCACCTTAAACTTACTCCCCCACCCTGGAGAAAAGACTTTCTGTATATTCACCCTATCCATGTCACTCATGATTTTATAGACCTCTATAAAGTCAGCCCTCAGCCATTGATGCTCCAGAAAAAATAACACTAGCCTATTCAGCCTCTCCCTATAGCTCAATCTCCCCAACCCTGGCAACATTCTTGTAAATTATTTCTGAACCCTTTCAAGTTTCACAAAATCCTTCCTTTGCCAGGGCGACCAGAATTGCACGCAGTATTCCAAATTTGGCTAACCAATGTCCTGTAAAGCTGCAACATGACTTCCCAACTCCTATACTCAAAGTACAGACCAATAACGGCAAGTATACCAAATGCCTTCTTCACTATCCTATCTAGCTGGGATAGCACTTTCGAGGGACTATGAACCTGAACGCCAAGGTCTCTTTCTTTGGCAACACTCCCCAAAACCTTACCATTAAGCTTATAAGTCCTGCCCTGAGTTGCCTTTCAAAAATGCAGCACCTCACGTTTATTTAAATTAAACTCCATCTGCCACTCATCGTCCCATTGGCCCATTTGATCAAGATCCCATTGTACTCTGAGATAACTTTCTTCACTGTCCACTACACCTTCAATTTTGGTGTCATCTGCAAACTTACTAACCATACCACCTATGTTAACATCCAAATCATTTATATAAATGGAGGAGTTATCAGAAATGTTTTTGTTCACAAGCTAGTGGTGCTAGAGTTTGTCGTGAGATCAGATTAATTGAAAAGATCAATCAGAATAAGGCCAGTGATTAGGAAGGTAAGTTGACATATTTCAAAGTCTGGATGGTGAGTGGCTTGGTGGGTGGACTTGCAGGTGGTGTTCCCATGTATCTGCTGCTCTTGTCCTTCTAAATGGTAAAGATAATGGAATTGAAAGTTTCTGTATAGGGGACTTTGGAGCTAAGGAGGATCCTTCGTGCATCTTGTACATGATGCACACTATTCCTCCTGCTGGAGAGAATAGATGTTTGAGGATGTGGTGTCAGTTCAGCAGGTTGTTTTGTTCTGGATGACGTGCAGCTTCTTATGTGTCATTTGAGCTGCACTCATCCAGCTGAGTAGGGAGTATTCCACACACTCCTGCCTTGTGCCTTATAGATGTTGAGCATAATTTGGGAATTCTGGAGGTGAGTTACTCGCTGCAGGATTTCTAGCGTCAGATCTGCTCTTGTAGCCACTGTATTGGTGTGTCTAGTTCAGTTTGTAGTCAAGGATGTTGACAGTGAGGGAATTCAAAGATGGTAAGGATATTGAATATCAAAGGGCAATGGTTAGATTTTCTCAAATGGAGATGATCATTGCCACATTACAGTCTCAGTCTAGATATTGTCCATGTTTTGCTGCATTTGGATATGGACTGCTCCATTACCTGAGGAGTCACAAATGATGCACCTACATTTCACCAAGTAGCTGATTACTAAACTGCAATTTCCTACAATCACACCTACAGCCACGGTGCAGAATAAAGAAGTGGCAGCAGGGGCCTTAAAAGTTTACTATAGTCATCAATTTCTATGCTCAGTGGTAACTCCAAGCATGAATTGAAGCCATTTTAACATTTTGCAAGTATCACTGCATAGGAAGGCAGCCAAAATAAACAAAATTGTTTGCTTGGCTCAGAAGTCTGGGGTCCCAGTTAGTGTCTATCCAAGTGCACCACATATAAAACACGATGAAAAAAATGGCACTGATAATTTATTCACTCCATTGTGGGCAGCTTTTAGCACTTATCTTTGTTTGCTGCTTAATGATTGCATACACATCCAAGCAGATGTTTTGTCCAGATGAAACATATGACTCTATTTGCATCAAGTTGTCAAAGTAATCTGTTTTTAATCTATTTCTGGATTTAGACTTAATCAAGTTTATTCCACTAAATCTATGCTTACAGTCAGCATTTGATACCTAAAATGTTGAACAAGGTCCAGAGGAGTGGACATTTCTTGAAATATGTCATCTCTTAGGGCGTGGTCCACTAAATCCCTGAATATCCAAATAGAACCAATCTTGACGTTTTCCACAGCCATAAATTTAAAATTGGAATATTATTCATATCTTTGTGACCACACTTTCTATATAGTTGGGTACAAGAGTGAAATATTTTCATATCAGTCATACAACTGTCTTTTCCAAATTTATAATTAGTTACATTTGCAATTGCAGCCTGATCTGTTTGAAAAATCTGCTTCCCTGGTGGTTGCTTAGATGGTGAATAAATTTACAGTTTGCAGCAGTGTCAAATATTACTGTTGAAAGCAGTCAGAACCTCTTATTTTCATCACTCCAATAAACAGTTTCACCTAGATACTGAGTCTTCAGTTTATTAGTCTTGGCCTTTGCAAATTGCATAGCTTCAATTATTGTGCAACAACATCTCTGAAAGAAAATGCGCAGTGATCCGGTTCACCTAGACCATGGTTCAGAGCTGTCAATACAACACAATATTATGGCTTTTCTGAGCATTTTCAGGCAAAATTTGTTTATTGGATCATTGTAATTATTCACTTGCATTGTGCAGAAAACAGCAAAATATTATAGTTTTGCACAAGTGCACTTACTGCGAAGTGTCGTGACAGCCATCTCAATTCATTCAGAGAATGAAATGCCATTGCATTTCACTCTGTCTTTGGCAAATTCTTCAAATCATCCTTTTTCCGCAGCTGAATATTGTATACATTGTTGGTAGAAGTATTTCAATATCTTGTATAATTGAGACCTGTTTCCAAGCTTCACCTGTTCCAAGATCTTCTTTATGAGCACTGCATTACTGTTCTGACAAATATATGATTTCACATTGCAATATGGCCACTACTCCATCTTTCTTTCCAAACACAACAGAAGCTGTAGCTGATATAAACATTATCTTCTGTAAATTAAGGTCACTATTAACATAAAATTGCTTGATTGCTGTAACAATAGACACACTTCATAAGCAATCAGTTTCAAAATACCTGCAAGAAAATATTGTAAAACAGTTCATATTATGGTTAAAACGTGATGTACAAAATCAACATTTTTGAACTGAAATGTTTGTATTTTCATCCAATACCAATGTATGAAATACAATTTGCACTATAATTTTTGCTCCATCAGCTCTGTGTACTTTGTCATAAGCATGTTTTGCAAAGAAAGGTTGGATGCATTCACGTCCACTGCAAGTGCGAAATTATCAGTTAGATTCTTCACCATACAGGGATTAATCTTTTTATGTTCTGAACACTTCACCATCACCTCACAATCTCCCAGTGTTTCAATAAGCATTCGTAAAATTCCACCTTTAATTTACAAATCCAAAACAACAGTGACATACATCTGCACTTTTTTGGATCAAATATCATGTTATGTAACCCAGTTTCCAAAGATACCACTTTTTCCTCAGTGCTGAACCAACCTCCAGCATTGCTTTAGAACAAATAGTACATAAGACATCCTCAGTTTCATGATAGAGGAAAATCTCAATAATTCTCACCTTCTGTTTCTGTATTGAAGATGGGACCTTGATTTTGATTATCCTGGAAAACCACTCCCTTTTGAAATGTACTCCGAATTTCTTTAAGGAATTGAAGATGCCTTTGTGTTTCTTTTGAATATATTTTAAACTTATCCTCTCAAGAAAACAGTTTAAAGTATAAATGAAAAACGATACTTCTGTTACATCTTTTTGGAATAGCCACCTGCTCCACAAACCTCATGCTATCTGATCCTCCTTGTTACTGCAGACTGTAAACTCTCTTAGGGAGCTTTCCACTGGAGTTGTGGCTTGGTCTCTTCCCTTGCCCCTTCCCTAAGCCAACCTCCT